GTTAGGCACCCAGGTTGAGTTGAGTACAACATTTCATCCTCAGACGGATGGACAGTCCGAGCGGACTATTCGGATATTGGAGGATATGCTCCGAGCTTGTGTTATTGACTTTGGAGGGTCATGAGATTAGTTCTTGCCTTTAGCAGAGTTTGCCTACAACAACAGCTACCAGTCGAGTATCCAGATGGCTCCTTATGAGGCTTTATATGGTAGACGGTGTCGATCTCCGGTGGGATGGTTTGAGCCGGGAGAGGCTCGGTTGTTGGGTACGGATTTGGTTCAGGAGGCCTTGGACAAGGTCAGGATCATTCAGGATAGGCTTCGTACAGCTCAGTCCAGGCAAAAGAGCTACGCACATCGTATGGTTCGAGATGTAGCTTTCATGGTTGGTGAGCGGGTATTGCTCCGAGTGTCGCCTATGAAGGGCGTGATGAGATTTGGGAATAAGGGAAAGCTTAACCCTAGGTACATCGGCCCGTTTGAGATTCTTGATCGAGTGGGAGAGGTGGCTTATAGACTTGCGTTGCCGCCCAGCTTATCAGCCGTGCATCCAGTTTTCCATGTATCCATGCTTCGGAGGTATCACGGCGATCCTACCCACGTGTTAGATTTCAGTACTGTCCAGTTGGACAAGGACTTATCCTATGAGGAGGAGCCGGTAGCTATTCTGGACCGGCAGATTCGTCAGTTGAGATCCAAGAGTTTTCCTTCTGTTCGTGTTTAGTGGAGAGGTCAGCCTCCTGAGGCATCGACCTGGGAGTCCGATTCTGATATGCGGAGCCGTTATCCCCATCTTTTCCCCGACTCAGGTACTCCTTTCTTTTGTCCGTTCGAGGACGAACGGTTGTTTTAGAGGTGGAGAATGTGACGACCCAAAAGGGTCATCACCTGTATTTCTACTCCCTCTGTACTTCTGAGGCCCTGGAAACCTCATTTGGGGTTGCCTCGAGTTGTGTGCGCTGTCCGGGCGCGTAGCCGGAAAAGTTTAAATATGAAATTTGTGTGAAAAATTGTTAAATCTTGGTATTTAATTGATTAAGTTTGATTTCGATCAACGTTTTGGGAAAACGGACTCGGCCCGTGATTTGACGGTCCCGGAGGGTCCGTAGGAAAATATGGGACTTGGGCGTATGCCCGGAATCAAATTCCGAGGTCCAAGCCCGAGAAATGAATTTTTGTGTGAAATTGTTTTCTGGAAATAATTAAGGAAATTGGAAATGAAATTTGATTAAAAGACTGTGGTATCGGGCTCGTATTTTGGTTCCGACGCCCGGTACAAGTCTTATATACGGCTTAAGTACTTTCTGTAAAGTTTGGTTGAATTTGGACGTCGTTTGACGTGTTTTGGACTAAAAACTCTAAACTTGATGTTTTATGAAAATTGGAAGGAAATCCTGGGTCTTGAGGCCTAATTTGATGATTATGATGTTGTTTGGGCGATTTGATCGCACGGATGAGTCCGTAGGATGTTTTTGAATTTATATGTATGTTCGGTTTGGAGCCCCGAGGGCTCGGGTGAGTTTGAGTAGGTCCCGGGAGGTCTTAGGCTAGAAGTATCAGATGGTTGCAGGGTTCAGGTGTTGCAGGGCCCCCCAGCGCGGCCGCGGTCATTTCCGCGCGGTCCGCGCTGGAAGCCGCGCGGCCGCGGTGCGTTCTTGCGCGGTCCGCGTGGCTAGGTTCAGAGGGCCAGTGAATTCTATGTTAACCAGCGCGGCCGCGCACCAAATCAGTGCGGTCCGCGCTGGGTAGGTTCAGAGAGTCATTTTTCTTCCCTTCCTCGGCGCGGCCGCGGTGCATTTTTGTGCGGTCCGCGCCAGTCTTCAACACAATATATAAAGTCGGAATTTTCAGTCATTTTTCACTTTTTCAAAACCCAAAACATAAGAGGCGATTTTCCAAACGATTCCACTTCTTCAAAACGATTGGTAAGTGACTTCTAACCCATTTTCTTTACTCCTTAACATCTTTAAACATAATTTCAACTTCAAAACAAAGATTTTAATGGGGAAATTGGGAATTTAGGGTAGAACCTAGGTTTTCTAAAATTGGGGGTTTTAGACCTCAATTCGGGGTTCGATTCCAAAATAACTTACATATTTGAGTTCATGGGGGAATGGGTGATCGGGTTTTGGTTCGAACCTCGGGTTTTGACCGTGTGGGTCCGGGGGCATTTTTGACCTTTTGGGGTAAATTGATGAAAAAGCTATAATTAGTCATTGGGTTTGATTTGTTTAGCACATATTGATATCATGAAGTCCTTATTGCATAGATTTGGTTGAGTTGGAGCCGAATTCGAGAGGGAAAGCGATTGTGGAGGATTGTATTGGCCGTGGAAGTCGAGGTAAGTGTTTGGTCTAACTTTGGCTTGAGGGAATAGGAGTAGAGTCTTATTTGCTACTTGCTAATTGTCGAGTACGATGTATAGGCATGGTGACGAGTATCTATACATTGGTGTCTAGCATGACCGTGAGTCCTATATTGTGATTTCCATGACTTCGTTGTATTATTCATGCCTTGGTGATTATTTCTATTTGTTGTGCAAAGATGTGGAAAGAATCGTGACTTATGGATATTGAAGAGCGTTGGCTCCAGTTGTATAGCGAATTGCGAAAGTATAAGTGATAATTGAACCTCTAGAGCATTGGCTCGAGTTGTGAAGTGAATTGTGAAGTAAAAATGAGGAGAGAAAAGATCATTATGCTGTCCCTTGGCGGGCTATTGTCGAATTGTGGTTCCCTTGTATTGTGTCCTTAATTGATATTACGGATGCTTAGTTTAATGATTCCTTGTGTTGAGTAAGGAATAAAGTTATAGCTGCGGTAGTTAGGTGTTGTAATAGGTTTGGTTATAGCTGAGGTGTTTAGGTGTAGTAACAAGTTTGATAATAGTTGTGGTAGTTAGATGTTGTAACATGATTGATCATAGTTGTGGTAGTTAGATGTTGTAACATGATTGATTATAGATGTGGTAGTTAGATGTTGTAACAGGATTGATCATAGTTGTGGTAGTTAGATGTTGTAACAGGATTGATTATAGTTGTGGCAGTTAGATGTTGTAACAGGATCGGTTATAGCTGCGGTAGTTAGATGTTGGGACACGTGTGGTTATAGATGTTTCTCCCTTGCCGGGACGTAATTACTCATGCTATCGAATCCCTTGTCGGGATAGTGTGGACCTTATCGATCTCTTGTTGGGACTCTCATTATAATTGTAAATATTATATAAATATGGATCGGGTTTCACGCCGCAATAATATTAAATATGGATCGGGTTGCACGCCGCAACAATACTGTATATGGATCGGGTTGCACGCCGCAACAATATTAAATATGGATCGGGTTGCACGCCGCAACAATATTGTATATGGATCGGGTTGCATGCCGCAACAATATTATATACGGATTGGGTTGCACGCCGCAACAGAGATATAATGAAATGGGAGCGGGTGGTACGCCTACCACGAGATATAATGAAATGGGAGCGGGTGGTACGCCTACCACGAGATATAATGAAATGGGAGCGGGTTGTACGCCTACCACGAGATACATGAAATGGGATCCGGTTGCACGCCTGCAACGAGATATGTACTGACAGTGAAACCTGCTTTTATTTCCCTTATCCGTGTTAGAGTTAAATTATTGATGTTCTTTATTATTCTCTTGATATTCTGTTTTTACCTGTTATCCCCCGAAGCATGTTTCCCCCTCCCATCCTTACTTGCTTATACCTGCTTTACTTTCCACTGTATTTTGTATAACTGCACAGGTTTATTTGATAGTCTGGTCCTAGCCTCGTCACTACTTCGCCGAGGTTAGGCTAGGCACTTACCAGCACATGCGGTCGGTTGTGCTGATACTACACTCTGTGCTCTTTTGCATAGATCCAGGTATTAGACAGCATCAGTAGTTGGAGGGCTTCCTTCAGTCCACCCGGAGACCCAAGGTAGACCTGCAGGCGTTCGCGGGCCCTGGCGTCTCCCTCTATCTTTATTCCCTGTTTCATTTTCTTTGTTTCAGAAATAGCTTATTGTATTTTCCTTCGGACTTTGTTTGTAGTGACTCTTAGACAGTCCGTGACACTCTGACACCAGATCTTGGGTAGAGGATTATGTTGGATTTCCGCATTTTCTATTCAATTTCTTTAATTTAAGACTTCCGCTTTATTATTAAATTCCAATGTTGCATGCGATTGCTGATATTTGCTAAAAGAGGTAATTTAGGTTTGGCTTGCCTAGCTCTCACTAGTAGGCTCCATCACGACTCCCGAGGGTGGGAATTCCGGGTCGTGACAGATCACTTCCCTGTCAGGCATGAAGCTGAAAGATCCTAAAGCTATCAAGGAGGAGTTTACAACAATTTATAAATCGTTGATGGGATTAGCTGTAGTTTCTCTTCCCAGAGTTAATAGGATGGTGATGAGAAATGGACCTCGACTATCCCACTGCCAACAAATTGCGTTATGTGCCAAAGTTACAGATACTGAAATTTGTGAAGCACTTGGTTCAATTGGTGATCACAAGGCTCCCGGGATTGATGGATTCAATGCTACCTTCTTTAAACAAGCTTGGCCAATCATCAAAACTGAGGTATGTGATGCTGTTAGAGAGTTTTTTAACAACAGTAACCATGTTTAAAGCTATTAATTGCACCACACTAACCCTGCTTCCAAAGATAGCAAATCCTAATACTGTGAAGGATTATCGACCTATTGCTTGTTGCACAATGATGTACAAGTTGATTCCAAAAATTCTTGCTGGAAGACTACAAAAGGTTATGAATTGCATCATCTCAGAAGCTCAGGCAGGTTTCATTCCAGGGAGAAGGATTGTGGACAGCATTATACTTGCACATGAATTGGTTAAATCATACGGCAGAAAACACATCTCTCCTAGATGTATGATCAAAGTTGACTTGCAAAAGGCCTACGACTCTGTAGAATGGGTTTACTTGGAATAGGTTCTAGAAGGATTGAATTTTCCATAAACGTTTGCCAAATAGTTAATGGCTTGTGTGAAAGCAGTCAACTACACCATTGTACTGAATGGGGAATCTCTAGAGCCATTTAATGCTGCTAAAGGCCTAAGGCAAGAAGATCCAATCTCTCCTTTCCTATTTGCCATTGCTATGGAATACTTGAGCAGACTTCTCAATGAATTACACCACTATAAGAGGTTCAAATACCATCCCAGATGTAGCAAACTACACATAACTTATCTAAGTTATGTCGATGACTTGTTGTTGTTTGCTAGAGGAGACACATCCTCAACTCAAAGGCTACAGGAATGCTTCACAATCTTTTCAAGAGCTTCTGGATTGCAAGCAAATCTAAATAAGAGTGCTATATACTATGGAGGTATGGAAAGAGGGACTATAGAAACAATCTGCCAGAATATGGGATATACTCAAGGTCAACTACCTTTCAAATATCAGGAGTACCATTGGACACAAAGAAGCTGAATATGTTATAATGGCAACCTCATCACAAAAATAGTAGCAAAGATTACTTCATGGACTGCAAAAAAGTTGTCTTATGCTGGAAGGGTCTAATTAACACAGACTGTGCTGTTTGAAATCCAATCATATTGGGCTCAGATATTTCCATTACCAGTCAAAGTGATCAAATTAATAGAAGCTTATTGTAGAAGTTACATGTGGTCTGGTGGTAATGAAATCACAAAGAGGACCCTCATTGCCTGGGATAAAGTGTGTCTACCTAAGACAGTAGGTGGACTCAACTTAAGCAACCTTCACATCTGGAATATTGCTGCCATTGCCAAAACTTTCTGGGATTTATCTCACAAGAAAGACAAATTGTGGATTAAGTGGATTCATACTGTGTACATCAAGGAGCAGTGCATAAACTCTATGTCTATCCCTATGAATGCAAGCTGGATGGTGAGGAAGATATTGGAAGCAAGGGAGATCATAAATCAGTTGCACAGACCATTAAAGGATAAGAAAAGCATCATTAAGCAGATATACCTTCAACTGACTCCAATGTTACCTAAAACTACCTGGAGAAGTCTAATGTGTAGCAATGCTACCAGACCTAAGGCTATAATCACAATGTGGCTTCAATGCCAAGGAAGGTTACTTACTGTGGACAGACTTAAGAAATGGGGACTCAGTGTAAATGGCTCATGTGTGTTATGTCATACTAACTTGGAGACAAGGAATCATCTATTTGCTGAATGTGACTATGCTAAAAGGTTGTGGGGTAGATTGAGTCAATGGGCAAAGGTACAGAACATTAGTAGTTCAACATGGGAGCAACAACTATAGATTATTTGTCAGCACACAAAAGGGAAATTAGATGTAGCAAAACTTCTCAAGATGATATATGCTGAATATACACATGCTCTATGGAAAGGAAGGAATCAGAGAATATTTCAAGAAACATTCAGAGATCACACAAGCTTGGCAAGGGAGATAGTCTGCATATGTAATTTTAGAGCTATTGGGAATGTAAAGAAACTAGTGCAAAAGTTGTATTTTTAGCATAGTTCACTGATAGCAATATGGTCTAGTATGCTAAGATAGTATAGTCTTTCCCCGTAAATCTCATGAGAATTAGCTAGCTGGGAGTAGCTAAGCTATGCTTTGTAATGCCTTCACTTTTGGTGATTAATAAAAAAATTTAATTACCAAAAAAAAGATGTATTGACTCAAGAAATATTCTGAGGTTAATAAAATTGAATTAACTTAATTAAAATTTTGCGATTTAAGTGAAATCTAATTTCATTATGCGAGGTCATTAAGCCGGACTTTACAAAATGTGCCAATCCACATATTTCAAACGTAAAAATCCATTAGGGCTCATTAGTCACTATCACATAAAGTATATATTAACCAAGCCAGCATTTTGAGTTAACATTTTGACTCAAACTCAGAGTCAGTCATGTGTTTGATTTTATATACGTGCTTTATTTTCACCTCTACAATGACTCTTATGGGATTGCGTTAACACGATTAGTTTCCTTGTGTACTAATATTCTTAATTTCCTAATGTAATTTATCTCGCATTTCATTAGCAAAAAAAATTACATAATATACACGCCTGTAAAGTAATGAACTCATAGCTGGATAAATTACAATGCGATTTCGAAAGAAAACTAAAACAGCTTCAAATGATATTGTCACCTCTTACAATACTAAATGGAAATTTTTGAGGAAGTTCGATTATTGCAAATTGTTAGTAAAATTCTGATGAAATGCATTATCGAATGCACTTTATTGGAAAAAATATTTATTGGAATGCAATTGTTAAAAAAAACTTGTGTGATGTTTATAAAATATAACTTGTCGAATGTGAACAAAATTATTAATATTGAATTACTAAGAAAACCATTCGTCAGTTGTTTAAAACAGTGTCCCATCTCCAGTTAGATTGTTTATTACTTCATACATAAATCGAAACAAAAAGTTGCATTCCCATGCGACATGACAATGTGATTAGCAGCCTTAATGGACCAGTTCTTCATGGATTTGGTCAAAAAGTTAAAAAGAAAAGTTTTTAATGATAATTTTATTTACATTATAGTATAGATTAGTTGATTACCGAAAGAGAATGAGTATCTGAAGTTACCAATTAATAATAAACAAGACACTAGTAGGAATATATTTTAAAATTTCATCATGCCAGGGTGGATTCAATGCTTCAACATCTGGTTTATCCAAAACCAGCTAGAATTTTCATCGCGGGTATACTTTTTTCTATGAAAATTCAATAAATATTTTATAAATATTAGATCTGAATTCGTAATTTTAAAACTACAATGAATTCAATAATAAGAACCTTATAACTTAAACTTTTGATATTAAAATCTTTGGATAAACGCCTATGTTATAATATATATGGCTGTTGAAGATACTGTGTGTGGCCTTCGAAGAGCTGAATGCTAATAATGGAACTTTGCAATCCATTATAAATTCAAAAACATTATAAATAATTACTATATGTTTTGTTCAGTATAATGGGTCCCAGCTATTTATTAGTTAGGAGTAATTAGTTATAACTAACAAAAGGTTAGTTAGTCGATATTGTATAAATAGAGTAGTTAGTTGATAGTGCTGTACAATTGTTCATTACTCTTCTTAGTTAGATAATAACCGAGATTGCGTTTCTCTCATTTCTTCTTCTTCTAGAATCTTCAAGTTCTGTCATGGCTGAAGCTGCTTAATGGTATCAGAGCTCTGTTTACCTCGAAAAATACGAGTAACAATTAAATTTGATTTGTGGTTTTAAAGATACGTGATTTAATTCAATACCAATTAATAATCAAGAAATATGAAGTAAAAATGAAAGAGAAAGGTGAATCAAACCAATGTTATTCAACAGCAGTGACCTCGAGCACAGGGACCTCGAGGTAGGCTTGGTATAATAAGAGCAAGTATAAAAGCAAAGTAAGAACAATAGAGCTAAAGGACAATGCCGATGAAAAAAGGTAGAGTATATTCTGTTCACAGTGCTCAGATGGTCTTACAAATGATTGGGGTCCCCTTTTTATAATAGAGGAACCCTAAATAAGGAATATTTCTATTTACAGTAAGGAATATTCTTTTTACAGCTGTCTAACCGCCTAGTACGGAATTGTACAATTTTATTCCGAAATTTGCGCCATGATCTTAGGGATGTGGCAGGAATCTAGCTCGCTCTGGTACAAATCCATAACGGTACTATTTCGAGGTCGAGCACACTTGGCCTCGGTACTCCTCGAACTCCTTCCTTCGGGCATTACACTTTGTCTTCGAGCTCTAGCCTAATCCACCGGTTTCGAACTTGACCTCTCCCGGTCTCGGGCCTAGGGCGGAACCTCGAGCTTCTACACCGGGGGCATATGATTTTGACCTTATACAAGCTCGGTGCTCGATCTCCTCAAGCACAACTGTGAGAGAACTTGAATAATCCAACTGTATCGAAGCATCACCCTTTCATCGATTTGAACGAGCTATTTCTCAACACAGAAATCTCTCTGCTCAATCTAGGGTTTGGGAAATTTTGAGTTTCTGGTTGAATCGTGGTTAGATCGTATCTAAATCTGTGTGAATTTAATAAAATTGTGGAGATCTCGGGTAAATCATTTGCTACTGTGATAATGTCGATCAATGAAGAGGTAGTTGGTTCTCCTGTTGCTGCATGAATGTCTACAGAACTTGTTGACCATAATCATCCTCTCTACATCCATCCTTCCGATACTTAAGGTTCTGTGCTCATTTCTTTTCAGCTTCAAGGTTGAGAAAACTATTCTATTTGGAGTAGATCTATAAAAATCGTATTGCATGGTAAAAATAAATTAGGCTTTGTCCTAGGCACTTGTAGAAAAAACAGATATGATACTAGTTTGCATGAACTATGTGATAGATGCAATGCTATTGTACTTGCTTGAATAATGAACACAATTTCACAAAGTTTAATTAGTTCAGTGATCTATGCTTCCAAAGCATACACAGTGTGGAAGGATCTTAAGGAAAGATTTGATAAAGATAATGCATCTAGGGCTTGCTATTTGCACAAGGAAATTGCCACATTAACTCAAGGCATATCCTCTGTGTCTGTGTATTACACTAAACTGAGAGAGTTGTGGGACAAGTATGAAACATTAACTCCACCACCTATTTTTGGTTGTGCTGAATCAAGGAAATATGTAGAACACTATCAGATACAGAAATTGTTTCGGTTTCTCACAAGGCTAAATGAATCCTATGAGAATGCAAAGAATCAGGTCCTCATGACTCGACCCTTTCCTAATCTGAACCAAGCTTATGCTATGATAGTTAATGTGGAGAGTCAGAGAATTATTGAAAAAGGTGTATATGTTGAGAGTAATAAAGCTGCTATGATGAGCAATAAGGTGTATACTAGAGGTTGCAATGGTGGAGGACAGACTAACAATAATTCTAATGGAGGTTATACAGGAGGTTACAATGGTGAAGGAGGGACTAATACTAATTTTAATGGAGGTTATAGACATAGAAACTCTTTTGATAAAGCTGCAGTTTGGTATGGTTACTGCTAATATACGGGTCACACTAGAGAGAACTGTTTTAAGCTTCATGGCTATCAATCTAACTTTAAAAACAAGAGAAAAGGAGGGGCACAAAATGCTCAGGCTAACAGTGTGATAAGTTCTGGTATTCCAACATCAGAGTCACAAGGTCAAGGACATCAGAAACCAACTTCTCCAGCTCACTTCTTTACTCAGGAACAGTACCAGCAGATTCTGCATTTGCTGAACAAGGACAAAGAGGATGAACTTGTTGCCAATGTTGTCACTGCAGGGACAATAGGTAGTATACATGCATTTATGACAAGCTTGATGCATAGTAACTGGATTATATACACATGAGCAACAAACCATATGGTTCATCGTTTGCACCTGCTAGAGAAGTATGATGAAATACCAGAAATGTTATGAGTAAAGTCCATTTACCAATTGGAGAACACGTGTCTATTACTCATACTGGTATTTGTTCTTTTTTCAAGGATAATAAAATTCAGAACATTCTCCACATTCCAGAGTTTATATGCAATCTCCTCTGTCTGTCCAAACTCACAAAGGAGTTGCGATGTCTAGCAACATTTTACCCTGATTTCTGTGTCTTTCAGGAACTCTCAAGTGGCAAGGTGTTGGGATTGGAAAGGAAGAGCTTGGTTTGTACATTCTCAAGGTAGATGACAGAGCAATACACAATCACCATGGCACTCATTCCTATTCAATTGTACATACCATTCCAGGTGACACCAATAAATGTAGTAGTCTAGCAAACAATAAGACGTGTGATGTATCTTCTTTGTAGCATCAAAGATTAGGTCATGCTCCTTTAAAGGTCTTGAGATCTGTAGATGCTTTACATAGTATGCAGCTAAAGGACATCATTATACTGTATGTCCTAGCCAAGCAATCAGGACTACCTTTTCCTACCAGTTCTTCTTGCTCTAAATCTATCTTAGACATTGTGAATGTTGATGTCTGGGTTCCAATAGGGTGCCTACGCATGATGGCAAGAGGTATTTTTTGACCTTGGTAGATGATTATTTCAGATATACCTGGCTATTTCTATTACATCCTAAATCAGATATCGTTGAGGTGATGAAAATCTTTATAGCAATAGCCTCAACACAGTTTGATCACATACTCAATTACCTAAAAACATACAATGGCATAGAGTCTTTTAATGACCATATGCAAACCTTGTTGAAGACTCAAACTATAGTACATCAAAGTTCTTGTACATATACGCCTCAACAGAATAGGGACGTTGAGAGAAAGCACAGGTCTATC